TGCGGCGGTACTGGGTATTCCACGGTACCTGTTGGTGGTGGTTTTGCATAGGAGCAAAGGCCGTCTAGGGATTGGTTTGCCTTGCATATCGGCAAGATGGCATTCAAAACTTGCTTGGCTCTTGGTACTGGGGTTGCAGCCGGTCACCGAAATTTACCGCCAACTTTTCCGCTTTGTTTGATCCCCAGTGATCGCACGGTGACTCTGTGGAAGAAGCCAGGGGTGTTTCCAACCGAACGCCATGCCATTGTTGACGAGCGGCTGTTTGCTATTTTTGACGCTGCGCCTCCTCTGATGGGCCCGGCTCCTCTACTAGCTCCTTGGGTTCCCACTGTCATGCATGGGGAGCACTGAATTCCTGTTAGTGCATGAAGAATACGAGGCGAACGCTGAGGTAGGAATGTTCTCCTGCGGAACCGAAGGTAATGCATAGAATGCGGGCGGTTAGTGTCTGGTCTAGAAGGATGCATCTCAGGGCGCATGGTATGAGTGTGTGTTGAGCACGCGCTGTTTCTTTCTCCTTGTTCCCGTTTTTCCCGCTGCGAGGAAATGAAAAGCCGAGTTGAACTGCGACGTACGTATTGCGTTCTGCCACATTCCATTCTTGAATCATACTAACTGCAGATCCGCTCGAGACGATGGCCCTGCGTCCACGAACTCCCCACGGGATGCTCGTCCGGGGTACACACCGACCAAATGCAGTCCTGCGTCCCAAAAACGAACGATGCTATGGCTGCGCGCGTTTCAAGTGCGTGAAATTCTGCAAGCCACGAGAATGACGGGACGAAAATTTTCTCTTTGTCGCCACGCATGACATGAAGTTTCACCAAGACCGTCCCACGCTTACTAAGACAGGCTATTGCTGTTGTGCGCGCTTTATGTAAAAACCAACACCGCAAATGGGTCCCTTATGTCAATAGTATAAGCAACTTCGCAACAGACGCCGAGAACAAGTGACAATGACGCGTGTACCGAGCGTCGATCAAGTCCCGGGCTAAGCTTTAAAGTTCCAGTCTAGAACCTTGGCTCCCGACGGAGAGGTGAGTAGTGGGGACGAAAATGTCTTGGGCTATGACCGATATACAATCGTATGCTCGGAGATGGTTGGCAAGTTGGTTACCAAAGATGGTACGGGCCTTTGTGTATTAAGCACCAAGGCCAAAGCAGAACAGGTGCCAGACTACGCCTACAAAGTTTTGATACCATATTGGCAACAATTAGACGCCTGCCTCATGATTTCCGTACACACGAACAGAGACAATGATCGCGAACAACTTGATCAACACTTGATACGTGTCTCAATGTCCACAACAAGTCGACAACTTGGCTATCAATTATAGTATATAAACTATTTCAATATTCGTCTACTTTTTCAATCGAAAATGAGCCTTTGGAACCACGATGCTGCGTACTTTCTGATGTTCAGTTACGCTAAGCACGTAAGTTCAGGCTACAAGTCTAGGCTGCGAATCTCACAAAAGCACCGTCGTACAGGCTGAAATAAACATTACTTGGTGTAGCTCTAACTAAACCTTGCAAATAGCCTGTTCTAAAGCCTGATCTAGGCATAAATAAATCACTGTCCTTGTCCATCGTGCCGGAAATTCTCTCCCACCCTCCTCACGTCAGATCCGCTCTGCCACACCACCTTACAAAGAAATCATCAAACAAAACGTCGTAGAGATTTGCGAAAAGTCACCAAAATCATCAGCATGAAGCTTACCGCTGTTCTCGTCGCCATCTGCGCTGCCGCCGCCTCCGCTGCCGTCGCGCCCGTCCGCTCAACTCCGCTCAACCCTCACACGAGCCACCCGTTCGACCGTTATCCCGGGTGCTCCGTAAGACACGACCCGATCCAGCTTCATGGTTCCTGGAGTACACGGTCTGCTAACTGTGACACCTTAGGTCGATTGCTTGAAGAGCAGCTTCGACGAGGCCGGGTGCGCCTACAGCGACAGCAGGTGCGGCTGCATCCACAAGAGGGTCATAACCAAGAGGTCGAAGCCGTGCCTCTGGGCCCGTTGCACCATGGACGAGTGCATCAAGATCAAGAACATGGCAATGGAGACGTGTGACAGGATCGAGAAGGGACTTTGAAAAATCTCGACTGGTTCTCTTAATATTGCCGCGATGGCTCGGCACTGTGTCGAAGGGCGTTGGGGGAGGGCAGGGCAGCGAAGCCTGACAGATGTCATTTTTTCGTCGTCTTCTGTCGGTATTCCTTGTGGTATTCTGTTTGTCGTGCGGCGGCTTGCGACTTGGCTGTGTTTTATACATTGCCGGGCTGCACATATGCCCGCGCCTCGCTTTGGTCTGTTAGAAATCTTGATTCGGTCAAATGAAAATATGATTATACACACGCTCGTGCCTTGAAATATTTATATTGACCGGTTTTTTCGCACTGCAAACCCACCCTTTCTTCATCAAGGACACGGCACAGCAGGGGACAGCCAAAACCCGCACAGGACTAGTCCTCGACTCCTCGTCTCGAACAGCACTTGTATGAAGTCAAGGCAAAGATGGCCGCGAAGCCCTTCCATTGCCATCAGACACAGAGGCCAAGTGGTAGGCGGCAGATCCCCATCTGCGGCACCGCGTCTGATCGGGAAGACGCATTCCTAGCATCGGGCCGTGGCGATACGAGATTCGGTTTGCATCCCGACGTCGCCTAGGTAGGAACGTCTGCTGAGCGAAATTCCAGGTGTGTAATGTTGTAAAACGTGAGTGCGGCCCCTGCTCTTCAAAGAGAGTCAGCAAGAGACATTGAATGTAATTATGCGCCGCGTCAGTTGCCAAGCGCGGCTCCTGTCGGGGCAAGAAATGATTCTGGAGAAAGAAAGGAGTGCCCGTTGCGGTTGCCAAATCAAAGTGTATTGAACGACATGGGATACATCAAACTTCCATGATAAATAAACATTCACCCCCAACGCCATTTGTTCAGGTGACACTGCACAAAACGTCCAGCTCAATCAATGTCAGACCTCGTCTCATGAGTCCAAAACACCATGTTGCCTACCTCCCGCCCTCCGAAACCTGGATCAAAAGTCATTTCATCGTATGTAACTCCTCCTACGGGCCATAACTGCGTGTATCCGGTCCCCAATCCATTGCTCGATCAAGCGTCCGCCGGGCCCTGGCTCCTGGTTTTGCGCGCCGTTCTGCCCACGGGCGGGAGCTTCTTTTCCTTCTTGGGTTTACCATTCTTGGGGGATGTTTGGGGGGGTTCTTTGGCGGTTTCCGCCGGTGCTGGGTCAGAGGCTGGGTCCGCACTAGAAGCAGGGTCTGAAGTTGCGGCCGCTTTAGCCGCCTGTCCGTTGGCGGCTGCGCTTCCATCAAGCTTGGGCTTCTTGTCCAGTGGAAGAGGATCCGAGGCAGCGGGATCTTTGGCTGTCGCGGATGAGCCATCGACAGGCGGAACGACATTGTCAAGCTTGCGTTTCTCGCCGACAGCATTGTCGTTAGGCTCGGCAGTGGTGATGGGGGGCGCGTCCGGAATTTCCGCAGGGGCAGGGGCTGGGGCAGGAACAGGCTCTGATTCGGGACCAGTGTGCGTCACTGGTGCGGGCTGCTTCTCCTCATGCTTGTCGACGTCCATGGCTCCACTGGCAGGAGAATCGTTCATGGGCGGCTCGGGAGCCTTGGCGCCGGATGACTGTTGCACCGGCTCTTCACGAGGTGCAGGCGCATCTGAAGAAGAGGAAGTATGCTTCTCGTCGGGCACAGAAGTCGGAGGAATGGGCTTTGGTTTCTCAACTCCTGTCAGCTCGACGGGTTCGATAATCGGCTCACCAGGAGGTTCAGGTGCTGACGGAGCTGGTTCCTCCGAGATGGTGAGCTCTGGTCGGGGCGTTCCTCCAGCAGGTGTCGATCCATTAACAGGCGTCTCTGGAACAGACATGACCTCTACAGGCTTGGGCAGGGTAGAACTATGGCCGGTGCCACCGTTTATCTTGTTCTCGCCAGCCGACTGAACCAATCTTTCGGCTGGCTTGTCACCAAGCTTGTCACCCGACTTGTCCGTGAGCCCGGCCTCGTCTTTTTCATTCCTGTGAGCTGGTGCGGGAGGGCAGACGGCGAGAAATGGCTGTCCTTGTGGAGGAGGAGCTCCAACCCGCGGCTTGGAATCATCTGGACCAAGACCAGAGACTATAGAATGACGAGTTAGCTTGCTATGATGGCAAAGGTGCAGTCATTCAGTAGAACTTTGGTGGCAAGTTGGCGCTGAGAAGCACGGGCAACAACCAATTACTCGCAGATGCATCAATTGATACAACTAGTGGGCATTGGGAGCACCAGCGAAGTCAGGCGACCCAAAATCCTCACACGGCAATATTACGCGATCGATGTTTCGCGACCCTCACCTTTCTCAACTGCCGGGACGTTGGTGTCGGTCATTGCGGTGGCAGACGTGGGTGGTGAGTTCGGATGACGTAAGGTGGGTGGTACCGCGAGCGGCTCTGTCGAGTGATTAAGCTTGCCTCTGCGGCTGAGGGAGCTCTGTAAGAGCGAGCAGGCGAAGAGATTGGTGAGCGATGAGGAATCCAAGCATGTAAGCTTTCATGCGGCAGGGAGATGTCTGATGGGGACGATGCCGTGCTCCTACGGGCAAGAGGCGAAAGCAAGGCAATGTGAGTTTGAGAGGGAGAGATGAGGCAGAGAGGCAAGCTGAAGCCAGTAAACCGGAGGGAGCAGCGAGATGGGGGAACGAAGGCAAAGGCTGGCCTTGGAGCTCGGTACTGGCCAATGCATGCCTCCGTGAAGAGTTAAAGAGGGCGTGGCCGGTTCCACAAGCAGGAAACAGTCGATCGAATATTGTTATTCCGCAGCTTCGGAACGGCGGACGCGGCGTGTTCCTCACCCGCACATTCGTGTGGCGAGATACCTTGGATTCGAGTCTGAGCCAAGTACCTCGATCCCCGTACGCACACGTCACTGACAGTGTGTGCCAGGTTCAGACATCTACATGTACGTTTAGCACTTAAGACGGCGACACAAGCAAGCTAGGCCATCTCAATGCCGCCCACACAGTCCACATGAACATGCCAAACCTCGTGGGTGGACCAGCCATCCAAAGGCGAGCCCGGCCGTATCTGAGACTTGGTTGCATTGGCTGGGCAGCATGACCAAGCCAGAGCAAAAAACATGTTCTCGTTTCTGGCAGTCACAGGCTGACGAGCACACAACGCAAGGGGGCTGAAGGATCGCCTGGAGATGATCTCGACCGTGTTCGCATGCCCATAGACGGTGCGGATCCAAACGATGGAAACGGCCGGACCATGGTACCAGACCATGGTACCAGACCGTGGCGACGCTCCAGGATTACTCCAGATGTCCAGGACCTCAGCTCCAGGATGCTGGGCAGGCGCTCCATTTGCGGAGAAGCGAAAGCTTAGGCGTGCTTCGGGCTCAGTCTCCAGCGCTTGATAGGCTGCGCAGCAAACACCAGAGACACGAGCTACAGGCCCCGACGAGGAGAAATGCAGAAGATGGTGGGCCGCAAACATCCACCATCGCGCAAGCCACCGATTTCTGGACATGGCTCAACAGCCAGCTGCGTCCAATAGCAGCATCGAAAAGCAGATCCCTTCGCCGCAGTTGGCAGTGAGGGGAAGACCTTGGCAGAACCAAACCAGACCAGGTCTACTCGGAACTCTGTGCCCAAGCTGAAGTCGAGCGGTAATACGAGGGACCGCTGTTCTTTGGAGCGAACAGCCAGCAATCCGAACAGGGCATGATGGAGGAGTGAGTGGTCAGTTGATGCTGTCGAGTCGGTTGCTCGAGTTTAGGTCTTTGTTTGTTATGGACGGGCGCAGCTACCCTCCCGCTGCACGCATGGGATACATATGCACGGCACTGGGCGCTGGACCGTCGAACTTGTCCGTCATGTTGCGGTATTGGGGAATATGTACCGAGTATCGCTTGTGATCTCGTGCCCGCACCCAACTTCGATGCGTCTCTCTGGAGGGGGCATCGAGTAGACGGTCTGTTCAAGACAAGCTGCGGCGGCGCATCAAGACGGCTATCCAGAAGTCAATTTCGCAAAATTGGCAGAGTGCAGACGTTACCAGATGATGGAATCATTTCGTCGTCCATGATTGTGTCCAACGTCGATTCGATTCGCCAAGCCTCACCACCCGTCCATCCGTAACAAAGGCCCCAATCCAATTCAGGGGCGTCAATGCAGAATTGGGGTCCCGAGCGCCAGGCCGCACACACGTGCTTAGTCATAAAAAATATGGGCCCGACACCACAAGCCCATCGTGACATGCTGGCCAAAGAAGCACGGGGTTGCGACACGCTCAGAGCTGACACTTGAAGCTTTTTCTGTTTTTTACGCGATACACCAGCCCAACTTGATCACGCTCCTTATCTCGTCGCCGACGCATCTTGCTTTCTTTCCATTCGCGCAGCACATGCTTCATTTTTTTTGTGGTTTCTTCATTCGTCCGCTTCTCTCACAATGGCTCCCGCCAAAGCCTCCAAGAACAAGTACTCGGTGATTCTGCCCACGTACAATGAACGTCGAAACCTGCCCATCATGGCGTGGTTGCTGAACCGCACCTTTACCGAGAGGTAAACCCTCCTCTGACACGTGTGCCGCATGCACAGCTCAAGGCTAACGCCAATTGCCAACAGCAAACTCGATTGGGAACTCATCATTGTCGACGACGGTTCGCCCGATGGCACCCAAGAAGTCGCCAACCAGCTGGTCAAGGCCTACGCTCCTCACGTCATCCTCAAGACTCGCTCCGGCAAGCTCGGTCTCGGAACCGCCTACGTCCACGGCCTGCAGTTCGTCACCGGCAACTTTGTCATCATCATGGATGCCGACTTCTCCCACCACCCCAAGTTCATCCCGCAGATGGTTGCGCTCCAGGAGTCGGGCAACTACGACATTGTCACGGGCACGCGGTATGCCGGCAACGGCGGCGTCTACGGCTGGGACCTGAAGCGCAAGTTTGTCAGCCGTGGCGCCAACCTGTTTGCGGACACGGTGCTGCGTCCCGGCGTGAGCGATCTGACGGGTAGTTTCCGGCTGTACAAGAAGAGCGTGTTGGAGAAGGTGATTGGCAGCACGGAGAGCAAGGGCTACAGCTTTCAGATGGAAATGATGGTTCGCGCCAAGGCCATGGGGTGCACGGTCGCCGAGGTGCCCATTTCGTTTGTGGACAGGCTGTACGGCGAGAGCAAGCTCGGCGGTTCAGAAATTGTCGAGTACGCCAAGGGCGTGTTTTCATTGTGGTTGAAGGTATAGACGGATGGGACATGTATGGGCCGAGACGGAAACATAAAGTAATGACGAGGAAGCTACGTTACTTGTAATATACCATTTTTTACCAGAACCAACGAAGCTTGCCCACAGTACATATGTACACTGAAGCGGCATCAGAAAAACGCATGCCCGCCTGAGGCCCAGGTCATTTCGATTTGCGGTAATTACACGGCACAGTCAACAAAACGTCAAAGCATGGCCGCCAACTAGAAGGCACTGGGTTCCCGTACTGACTTCATCTTCACAAGCCCACGAAACCAAGCATGCCTCAGCCCGCGTCATCCACGTACAATACACGCAACGGCATCGACGACATTCCCCAAAGGCCCGCGTCTACATGTTCCTCCCCCCCGTCACCATGATGGTCTGGCCAGAAACGTAGGAAAACAAGGGACTCGCGACGGCCAGAATACTCGCCGCCGCCTCCGCCGGCGTGCCGGGCCTCCCGAGCGGAATATCAGCATACGCAGCGGCGGCCCCCTCGGCCCCGGCGGCGCCCTTCTGCTTCTGCTTCTGCGGGATCCCCAGCGCGATCTTCTGCCCGTCCGGGCCGGCGACAAAGGCGCCCTCCTCCTTGGCGGCCGTCAGCCGCGTGGCAATGTGCCCAAAGGCGACGGCGTTGGCGCGCACGCCGAAGCGCGGCCCCCACTCCTTGGCGATGGTCTTGGTGAAGCCCGTGACGCCGGCCTTTGCGAGCGCGTAGTTGATCTGGCCGGCGTTGCCGTGCACGCCGCTCGTCGAGGAGACGTTGACGACGCACCGCGGCTCGCCGTCCCGGACGCGGAAGTAGGGCGCCGCCGCGCGCACCAGGTTGAAGGGCGCGGTGCAGTGCAGCGCGATGATGGTGTCCCACTGCTTGTCCGTCATCTTGTGGATGACCCCGTCCCACGTGTACCCGGCGTTGTTGACGATGATGTGGATCTTGCCGTTGCCGAACGAGGCCGCCTGGGACACGAGGCTCTGGATGTAGGTCGGCGACATGATGTCTCCTGGGACGGAGATGGCCTGCCCGCCGGACTTGTTGATGGCGTCGGCTACGGCATCGCTCTTGGCTGTTGTTTTTTTCCTGTTAGGTTGGGGGTGTTGTTGATGATGCCGCGGGGGGTGGGAGACATACCGGCGTCAATGTCGGTGACGACAACTTTGGCGCCTTCGTTGGCGAATAGCCTGGCTGTTTCGGCGCCGATGCCTTGCCCGCTGCCGGTGACGATGGCGACTTGGTTGGCGAGCAGGCCGCGCGGGTAGTTGAGGTGTTGGGAGATTTGGGCGACGCGGTCCGTCATATTTTTTTTTTCTTTGGAGGGGATGTGACTCGCGGGGGGTTACTTTGTATGTATATTTACTTTTTGGGTGAAATCGGACGGAACGGAGCTGAAGTTGGCGACGCTTGGAGGATGAGATGGGCTTTATGAGGCGCGCGCATGGAGCGAGGTTCGATGTAAGTGCCGAGGTCGAAGGAAGCCGGCGGCCCCGCACCCGGCTTTGGACAGGGTCGGGGTCCGGTGGCCGTGGGAGCCGGCTCTGAGGAAGGGTCAATCTGTCGTGTATCATGTGTATCACCGTGATGGCTTTTATGGCAATGCAAGTAATGCAAGTTGGGGTAAGCTGCGTAACTTGCCGTACTGTTTGTTTGCCTTGGGTCAGTTGTATGCTGAACGCGTTTGGTGAGTTGATGTCGAGTGCTAGCCCCTTGGATGCTGTGCTCGGTGCTCACTCCTGGATACAGCTGCTAGATATACTTGGGCCACGTGGACTAGTTTTCGTACTTTTATAAATGCAAGGGTGCTTGAAATCGACTTGATTAATGTGAAAGTAATGCCATGAGACGCCTATATGCAGATAATGCCCAGCTTGCAACCTACAGACAACATTAGTCGACAGCGCCTACCGACAGTAACGCCACAAACAAATAGCAGTAACTAAATTTATTTCTATTCAAAGAATGTATTACACAGTCACGCTAATATGGATTCATTGGAACTCAAGTACAAAAACGCACGTCGCAGGATAACCAAGTACACCCACCGCTACCGCCTCACCACCAAACTACTTACTGCATTAATCGGGTACCACGACGTTGTAGATGACAAAGTCGGCTGCTTTGAAGCCATCCGCGTAGACAGCCCATGTCTTGCAGACTCCAGGCCACTGTCCGTTGTTACACTTCTTGAGCTGGTAGGAATTGTTGGGGAGGTATTTGTTATACACGCAGCCGCCCCGGCATCGTGGTTGGAGAATTCGAGCATAGGTACGAAATACTGGTCGCCGTTGATGCGATTCGGGCTCGTGGCCGGCATGCAATTGCAAAGAGCGTTGATTCTCGTGGTGAAGGGACATTGACAATGATTTATAAACGGGACGAACTGGAGCTTCAAATTTGCTCCTTACTGCATGCAGGTCTTTCGAGATGGTACTGTCTGTCTAGTCTGGGTATTCGCATTCTTACTATTCGCTTTTGCATATCGGACCTAGTTCTTGCCAGGTTCTTGCCTCCCTTCGCTTTATGTAGGCATTACGGGAGAAACGCACTCTTCTGCCAACATTTCCAAATGTGTATCACATGCACGGCCTTGAAGGAAATACTCCGTTTAGTGTCCGTCGCTTAAGCACCAAAGGGGCTTACATGTATTCTATATTCCAGACTGGGGGTTGTCAGCCAACACCTCACGTTCCTGGCCTGAATTGAACGTCCCCAGTCGAGAATTGCAGACCGTGGCAAAATATATTTACGAACAGAGAAGTCTACATACACCAATATGCTATGGTGTATTATAGCATCAGTCGCGATTGATAGGTACCTTCCCTGGTCAAATGCTTTTTGCCTCCCAATGTAGTCTGCACATACGCGGCTTACGTTGGGAGAGGAACTACTCGAGGATTCTGTTTGGCTGGTGGGTTAACAAAAAAATAAAAGAGAGAAAGAGGGCGAATTGCAGTAGCAGAACCTGGTAGATTAACCGCCGCATGCCTATTAAGTAGGTACTTACATAGATTACGTATTTCAGGTCGAGGCATGTCACAAGCCGCACTAACTGGCACGTCAAATCGACACTACCAAACTCCTCTGCGATGCGAAGCCAGTGTTTGAAAAGCTCTTCATTAACTCCTCTCCATCCAATGCGCCGCCGAGCATCCAATCCATTTCTTGTGTCCCGGGCGGCTGCCTCACCAACCATCTCCACTGGGCCATCAGCCCGCATCGCAATAGCAGCATATTCAAGACAATCCACAAGGCATACTGTCTCAACTGATCCTCTGTGGCGTATTCAGTAGTCCTGATGGATGTGGAAGTTTATACGCCCGCTCCTTGTGGGCATTCGGTCCCACGACGGCCTGGCACCTCCACTAAGCTTTGTAATGCTCATTAAGCGGGCGGCCCGGTATGGCAAGATGGCCGAGTGGTTAAGGCGAAAGCCTCGAAAGCTTTTGGGTTCGCCCGCGTGTGTTCGAATCACACTCTTGTCGACTCTTTTTTTGTATCTCGACAGCCTTTTTTTATTGAGCCGCAATACCTATACTTGTACCTTTTTCAGTCAGGCTCAATGATTTTTTTCCAAGGCACAAGATATTCGGCGTGAATGACAGCATCTCCGCCTTTGGAGTCTTTACATCCCGTTTGGCCCCTCTACGGTCGACCAGGCGTGAGTCTGGCAGCGCACCACGACGGCTGTCATGCCCAGCAAGGAGATAGTGTCGCAGCGGGCACCACAAGCAAACCATAGTAGAAGAAGACGCCGGGCTCAGGAACAAATCCCCAAGATGGGGGCTACGGGCTGCTGATGACGTTGAGCCCGTTGGGCGGGGACCTCGCGTTGGTCGTATTGTCCCCGTGCTGATGGACAAGGCTTTCCACGCTCCCTTGGGCCTCTACTACATACATATGCTTGGGAGGAATAAATATTTTTAATGCTCCGTTTCTAGGAAAACATCCAACAAGCTCTGTTATCCGTCGCAGCCTAAGTAAAATAAGCCGGACCCCATCGAAAAAAAATGACAGACCCCAAACTCCTCGCATCGCTTGCCGCCGTCCCCATCGAGGATCCCATCGACCCAGACACCCTCGAGACGGTCCTCTCCAGACCCCCGTTTGTCATTCTTCCTGGATCCTTGAACATCCGCGATGTAGGCGCCTACGCACCGGGATACATCAAACCGAGTCTTATCTATCGCTCCGGCACACTAGACTTTATCCCAGAAGCCTCCAGCAGTTTGCTCCGCAGCCAGCTCGGCGTCTCAACCGTCTTTGACTTTCGGCGCAGAGACGAAGTCAAGAGACGCCTCTGCGACGTCGATGGCATACAAGTAGTTTCGTGTCCGTTCCAGGACGGCCAAGTGGACAACGTCGATGTCGATTTAGCAGCGTTTGTACCCCGGGATGGAGAAGTCGTCAGCAAAGGGTACAGGGACATGTACAACGTTATTTTGGAAGGGTACACGACGGGTTACAGGAAGGTGTTTGAGGCGTTGAAGAGCGCAGACAGGAACCACGCCGTTCTTTTCCACTGCATGGGTGAGTGCGCCCGGGTACTTTGGCAAGTGATTTGCAAACTAACCGACCGGCAGGGGGCAAAGATCGGACCGGTGTCATGAGCGCTCTCGTTTTGGACCTTATGGGTGCGCCTGTGCCCGTCATTGCTGAGGAGTATGCTCTGACGCGCGTCGGAACAGAGCCGTTTAGGGCAAAGATGCTCCCTGCTGCTATTTTGGGCTTTGCGGGGATTGCACTGGAGGACGGTGATGGGGGTTCCACGGTGCAGGATGGGTTGAAAGTTCCTGGAGTGCGGGAGATACTGGGCAGCCGTGCTGAGATCATGGCGGATTTTATGGAGGGACTGGAGACACGGTATGGTGGTGCCGAGGGGTATTTGAGGGAGAGGCTGGGGTTCGGCGAGGACGATGTGCGGCAGATTAGAGGTAACTTGAGGCCGTAGATTCGTGCGATGGGAGCACACTTGCTGGCATGTTGCGACGGCTGCGGTATATACATCACTATAGCTTAAAGTCGGTGTTTAACTTTTCCCATCCTGCTGACGACTCGTCCATCCCTGCCACCCGCTCTGCGAGCTTCGTCTTGAGATTGCGGTGCTTTTCAGTGCACAGCTCGTACATGGTGGACAGGTTAAACAGGAGGGTGTGCGAGGAGAAGCCCGACTCGATTAGGCTTTCGAGGATATCGCGCCCCTGATACAGTTAGCACAGAATGTTCGACGATGCGCGCTGGATGCATACGTGCCTCTTGCATCCGGCCGATGTATAACAGACAAACTGCCGTGTTGACGCCAACCATCTCGTCGTCCGGCATGGCTTCCCGCAGGTCCTTCCATCTCTTCAAGGCAGATTCATAATCGCCATCTGCCATTTCGCATAGGGCCAGGATGAGCTTCTCTGTCTCGGCTGCATTGTCGGAGCACTGTGCCGCGCAGTCTCGCGCCTTGTCCGCGTCACCGATGTGCAGCCACAAAAGAGCCTTTGACAGCGCAATCTTGCCGTCGCCTTTATCTTTCAGACTCTTCAGATGGTGAGCGGCCCCGGAAAGATCATCCATGTCGATGAGCGCACCCGCAACCTTGACTCCCAGTTCATGAAGACGGGCTTTCCACAGCTCACTTGAGGAATTGTCGTGCTTTTCCATAGCTGTGCCAATGTGCTCGCGCGCCTCTCTCGCCAAGTCGTGATAGCTCATGACGGCCCGTCGTGGGTCCCCGAATCCAAGAGCCTGCAGTCGCACGTTGAGCACCCGCAGCTCCCAGGGAACCAGGTGCTCGCCCGTCTTGTCATCGACGTAGGTCCGTACATTGCTTAAATCTTCCAGCGCTTTCACCTCTTGAGCTGCCAGCGGGGTGGCGTCAATAAGCGTCAGGCAAACAAGCCGGGTGTACAGGAGAGTGAAGATGCGCTGTGAATCAGCCGGGTCTACGGCTCCGTGGGCCCCAGAGCCAGTTAGTTCCTGGACGGACGCGATGGCTGCGGCGCGAAAGTGCCCCCTTGCGAGAAGTTGCTCTAAGGGCGTTGCAGGATCAGGCTGCTTTGGGGAATTGCGGAATGCGACTGGGACGTTGAGCGGCGTGAGAGGATGGTAGATTTCGGGGCGAAGAAGGAATGAGAAGTCCTTGGGGCGGGATTCGCCTACTTGAGGGATTGGGGAGCTGGTGGGTTGACGGTTCTGGGACGTTGTACGTTGGGGGAGCTGGGCTTGAAGTCGTTCAGGCTGTGGCCTTGGTGGTGAGCTTAATGGAGAACTGCTTGGAGGGTTAGCTGGCGATGGTTGGAAGGCAGGGTGGGATGAGCTTGCTCGTCTGAATCGAGGGGCCCCTTGGTACTGGATCGCGGTCGCGAAGCTTTGGACTGTTAGTGTTGGTGTTTGATTGACGCTGGGTCGATAAGCTGTGATGAGGGCGTGATGAAGAAGACATGATGGCTGCGTGCTGTTGGTGTTGAAGCGAATGACGCAAACTGGTGGTTGGAGGGTGCAGCTGGGACTCACAGCGCGAAACCGACGACTTGTTCTTGGTATGGCCCCTTTGGAGGCCCTTTTCAGGTTGGCTCATGATGATTTGGCCAAATATGCGCAAAGTCGGATGATGAGCTTTGAGTGTGAATTGTCGTCAAAGCCATGAGCGAGGTCTGGGTTCATGAGCGGATAATCGCCGGCAAAGTGGGGAACTCAGCGAATCACTTACACGGCGGCATTAGAGGTAAGAGTCACTTTCATTTGTATACTTTTTTAAAAAAAAATCGAATTCTGACATATTCTAAGTATATTGGTTCTCGTGATTGTTGTGGTGTATGCGTTGCCTGCATATTTGGAATCTCTGGATCATGAGCAACCGTACTACGGTACGACCGGCGGGTAAACTCCAGAGCCTTCAAGATCTTGTGCAGACGCTCATGGTTCCTCGGCATTTTTTGCACGAGTCTGAACTTTTTATGCATATAGATCAAAAAATTCTTGTGCCTAAAATGACAGCGAGGGGGACTTTACTTGCGTAGCTGATAGAATACCATTTTGGTTGGCTAAGCAGGCCTGGCACCAAGTGCCAGCTGGCAGGCATCACTAGTGGTCGTTTATGCATTTCAACTTTCCACCACATCTCTTTTTTCAGTCTTCACGCTTTTCATATTTTCTAAAAATCTTCCATTTCCACAACTTCATCTCCTCTTCAATCACTACAAATCCAAATGGAGGATTCTGTTCTCGGCAGGAAACGTCAAAGGACGGACACAAGCCCCTTCGACGATATGGATACAGAAAGCCAGAAACCCGAACCCCAGTCACCGAGAAAACCTTCTGTAGGCGGCGAAAGCGTAGTTTGGGAGCCCTTTGGGATACCTCAGAGGAACAAATTGCGCCTTGCTGTTGGGCCCGAACGGATATCGATTGTAGTAGACTACTGGGCAATCGAGCACATATCTCCAGTCCTACATCACATGATTCGCAGGGCCCTGGATGACAGAGGACTTGCAGAGAATGATGAACAATACGTGGAGCTGCGTATTCCGCAAGAAAAGCCCGAGATCATCATGATATTCCTCGGGCTCGTCTATGCGACACGACTTCCGCAGTATGACAACATCACTCCATCACAGCTTCTGGACTTGGCATTACTCGCCGATAAGTGGGTGTGCACGGATCGTCTTTTTTATAGTGTCGAGTATTACTTCTCGCGCCTCGGATTGTTTTCCTCGCCTGAAGGCCTCTGGCAAGCATACGCGGCCTCGTACATGCTAGCAAAGTCCAACTATTTCCAAGTCTATAGCAACCGGCTGACCTCCTCGTACCGAGGATCATTTTTACCCTTTGTGAAATTGATGCCTGACATTGCCCTGAGTGCAAGGCTTTGCCGTACGTTTCTTTCACCCTACAGGTACATGCTGATCTATGTTTAGCTGATGCAAACTAGTGGCCTTGGAAGAGAGACGATCCGCTAGGGGGGGTCTCAACGGTACCAGTGGTATTTTGTGCCTTGATTGTTTTCGCAAGGCAACGGATAGCTTTTTGCCAAACCGAGACTGCTCATCTTGTAGAGGTTGTCTGGCGACACTCCCACCAGCATCTTTGACTCCACAAGAGCTGCCCGCCGCCACGAACATACCATTTGCTGAGAAGACCGCCGACGGCTCACCTACAAACATAGAGGGGTCCAAATCCGCTGGATTCAAAGGCTTTTCGGGGAAGCTGCCCAAGATGGTGCCAGCTCAGACGGCGGAAGAAGGTAAACGTGGACTGCGACTCGTTCCTGCTGCAAGTAGTAGCAGCACGCCTACTCGACCCTAAAACGAAAAGGCTGTTACCCAGCTTGGAGCCTAGAAGACAGAATCTGTCAACGGTCAACAGGTAACATGAAAAAAATAGATTAGGACTCATCATTTCTGCCAGAGTGCTGCTGCCGCATATACGTCGGTTTGTTTTGTCAAGCTTTCTTCTGTTGGTTGGAATGTGGCAGATTACGCATGAGACGGAAATGATGGATTCATGCAAGACGCCGAAAGTTAGTCCCTTCAATTAGCTACCATTTCGCAGAATAAATGCTCATGCATCAAATCAAACTTGCTCCTTTAGGAATCGCCCGGCAAAATGACTCACCGGCAAGTCTGACAGCGCCACGCAGCGGAAGTGGCTGTCACTAACACCCCAGCCATTCAATCAAGTGCTGCGCTGACGCAGATCGAATGGTGTAAAGGTGCAAAAATACGACTACGAGCCGGCGTGAGTAAAGACGGTCAGTGTCAAATATATATACGGGGGCCATGGGAATACAAATTGTATTCTTTCACACTCCTTTCAAGTGCTTGAGAGAGAGAAAAAACGTCGCCGTCCCAACCTGTCGCCGAAAAATGCCCCTCACGCCGCAGCAAATCGTCACCCGCACCGAAGAGGACCCCAGTGGCATAGAGCGCATCGCCACGCGAAAGCTTTCAAATAGTATACTGGAAATCGTGGAGCCGGATCCCACCTGGCCGCAGCAGTTTGAACGGCTCAAGGCGCGCATCGTGGATGCCCTTGGCGACACTGCACTTGCGATTGCACACACCGGTTCCACCAGCGTCCCCGGACTGCCTGCCAAGAACATCATCGACATTGATCTGACGGTGAGGGACATTGGCGATGAAGATTCGTACGTGCCGCAGCTCGAGTCCGCGGGGTTCACATTCCTGCTCCGCGAGAGGCCGTGGCACGAGCACAGGCTGTTCGGGATGGGATGGGACCCGACGCCGGTGAATCTGCACGTCTTTGGGCCGGATTGCCCGGAGGTCGAGAGGCATAGGATCTTTCGGGAGTGGTTGACGGAGAATGCGGGCGACAGGGAGAGGTATGCTGAGATCAAGAGGGTGTCGGCCAGGGAGTCGAGCGACAAGGGGGAGTCGATGATGGAGTATAACGCGAGGAAGGAGAAGGTGCTGCGGGAGATTTTGGACAATGCATTTAGGGCGCTAGGATATATAGAGTGATGATTTGCGTGCGGGAGAATTGGCGGTTGGGTGGAGTGGTGAGGGTAGAATGTTGCTTGAGATGCACGTTGTTGTGAGGGTGCCACGTATAGAATAAAGACTGGCGGCGAGAAGGTAAATTGTGATTGTTCATGTGCTATCAATATTACAGGGCAATGAAGACTATTTGCACCAGTTGACCTCTTGCAGGGTGGTCTTCCCCTGTCGGCTGCCTGATCAACTGTCGTGGAGTAATCGGTGATGCCGGTGTAGCACAACAATGCGCATTACTCGGCATAATAACCACCGATAATCATACGGTAATAGGACAAGACTCCCGTCGCCTGCATCAGTTCCACGGGACTGTGCATTTTGATCAATGCATTTTGCCCTCGTGACGCAAAGTTGCCTCTGGTGCGTGGCTACCCTGGACATGGGACATGATGGTAGAATCCGATTCGAAGCGTGCCACCGTACTTCGACTCCTGCCATGTAATTCAGAGTCGGTATCGCCATCATCCACCAGCAGTGCGCAGCAGCATCGCTGTGACAAGGCCGTTTTGCAACAATGAACTAACTCAACGTCACGGCAAGATGCTATTCCGGGCTCCGTATCCGGAGGCCACATCACACTGTCCCTCACACTGTCTTTCCCCCACGTACATACGATGCAAGCCACCAAGTCATCTTCCTATGCCCAAGACATGGGCCCAACCAACGGAGCGACTGCGGCACCCCAAGTTTATTTAACATGCACGTGCCGATTTCCCCTTACGAGGCAACCTTGCGCTGTCATTGGAGGTCATTGGAGGTTCCCGCCGAGTGTAAAAATGGGGGAGCCCGCACTTTGTGAGTTGGATGTTCCCGCCCCCGTCATGGATAGGCAGTGATGACAATGTGTCTCATTGTCCTAAAGGAATAACAAACAGCCTACAGAGTACAACAGTCCGAACTATGGCCTGTTGATTGGATGCCGTCATGTGGTGTTTGCAGACGCTGTGCGTTGGCCGACTTGGTCATGCTGCATGATTCCGCAGGATTCCCCTCGCGACGAGAGGATGAAAATGGTTCTTTCGCTGCTGGATGCAACACACCATGGCGCACCTTGACATGGCCTTGCAATACGGAGCACTTTACGGCTGTTCCCGCCAACTTGGGCCTGGGAAGCTAAATTGCCGAAACACTGGCCCCTGTCAGGCCTCGCAGATACGGTCGAGTGCCGTACAATCGTGAGTTCCTCCCCATCACGGCATACCACGCCAAGGACACAGCCCACGCCTCGCGTGCATCCAGTTCTCTTAGCATCTTTTGTGTTGACGCTACACCAGGCATTTAGTATATTTCTGTGTGTTTTGACTCTCCGCGCTCGTCTCCGCCTTCCTGCATTCCACCCCCTTCGCTTCCGCCCCCGTCTGCTAGTCTCCCTCAACGTACAAGACCTATCCCTGCCCCGCCAAGAAGACCGATTGTGCTTGGATCGTGGGGAGACGACACTAACAGGCGGGTACGGAGTAGTGCAACTCGTTCAAAGGAAAGGGCGAAAAAAAAATACAAATACATGGACGGTCTCGCGCCGCCTACCCGGGCCTTTTTTCTCATCAGCGACGCGTGAAGCGGGAGCATGACTGGATTTCAAGCCGCCGCGCATCTGGATTTCCGTCATTCGCTTCCCGCATCTACCTAACATTCCGTCGTCTTGGGCTTGTGCAGACGAGGCCTGTCGAGACTCGACATGGTTCGCTTGCGACGCCTGGCGCTCGCCGCGGTGCTATCGCTGCCAATCGCAGACGCAGCAGCAGCAACAACAAGCGGCATCTCCAAATTGGCAGATCGGCTATTCAATGGACAGGGAAGCGCGTTTGAGTTTGTCCTCACCACTCGCCCCGAGGACTGGTCGCGTTGGAACCCGCCCGTCAACGACAACTACACGGTTCAGGGTGCCCGTGGAAAGATTCGCGTCGAGGGAACATCGCTGAATGCGCTAGCCAGGGGGTGAGTGTTTTGCGTGTGAATTCCTGGCATGTTTTGCCATCATGGAAGGGCGCCTGATCCGACTGTCCGTGTCTGCTTTGTTGTGTACCTTTTTTGCTGACAACCATTTATACAGCCTGCGACACTATGCCAATGACGTCTTGCAAATGGACGAGTTTTGGTTCGTCGATACGTACAAGACGGCTCCCCAGCATCTGCCTGCCCCGAAAGAACCCTTGTCCGGGGCCAGTGTTGTGCCATGGAGATATAATCTCAACACGGGTGAGTTGCCAAAATTTCTGGCATTTCCAATAGGCGGGAAAGAAACACCCACTAACCAACCAAAAAAAGTCACCTTCTCGTACACTTTCCCCTGGTATCAGTGGGAGGACTGGGAGAAGCTCCTCGACTGGGCGGCCCTGCGAGGCGTTAACCTCCAGCTCGCCTGGGTGGGCTACGAGAAGATCTTCCTCGACAGCTTGCGAGAACTCGGTCTCTCCAACGAGGACATCTTGCCCTTCTTCAGCGGACCGGCGTTTCAGGCGTGGAATCGGTTCGGCAACATTCAGCGTTCCTGGGGTGGCAAGGGAGACTTGCCGCTGGCTTTTATCGAGCAGCAGTTCGAGCTGCAGAAGCAGATTGTCACGCGCATGGTAGAGCTCGGCATTACGCCTGTGCTGCCCGCGTTTCCCGGCTTCGTGCCGGAGAGCATCAAAAAGGTCCGGCCCAACGCGAATCTCACCGTCTCGCCCAACTGGTTCGCCCCTGCCCCGGACAAGTACACGAGGGACCTGTTCCTCGACCCCCTGGACGACACGTACGCGGAGCTGCAGAAGCTGTTCGTCACCAAGCAAATCGACGCCTTTGGCAACGTCACCAACGTTTACACGCTCGACCAGTTCAACGAGCTGTCCCCCGCGTCCGGGGACACCGCCTACCTCCGGGGCATCGCGCGCAACACGTACGCCGGGCTCACGGCCGCCAACCCTGCCGCGGTGTGGCTTCTTCAAGGATGGCTGTTCTTCTCGAGCCGCAACTTCTGGACGCAGCCTCGCATCGACGCCTACCTGGGCGGCGTCGAGGACCACCAGGGCATGCTGGTTCTCGACCTATACTCCGAGGTGAATCCGCAGTGGCAGCGCACAAACAGCTACTCTGGGAAGCCGTGGATTTGGTGCCAATTGCACGACTTTGGGGGGAACATGGCCCTTGAGGGCCGCGTCCAAACGCTGACGTCGGCGCCGATCGACGCGCTCGCGCAGTCAAAGTCCCTCGTGGGATTTGGCCTGACGCCCGAGGCGTACGAGGGCAATGAGGTTGTCTACGACATCCTCCTGGACCAGGCCTGGTCCGCGACGCCGCTCGACACGCAAGCGTACTTTGCGTCGTGGGTGACGAAGCGCTACGCAGGCATCTCCAGCATCCCCTCGGAGCTGTATCGGGCATGGGAGATCCTCCGCACCGATGTGTACAGCAACACCCGCACCGACATCCCGCAGGTCCCCGTCGCGACGTACCAGCTCCGGCCGGCGCTGTCCGGCATCGCCAACCGGACCGGCCACTTCCCCCATCCCACGGCGCTGCACTACGACCCCCTCGTCCTCCAAGGGGTGTGGAAGCTCATGCTGGAGGCTTTGACGCGGCAGGGCTCGCTGTGGAAGGTGCCGGCATTCCAGCTAGACTTTGTCGACGTCTCGAGGCAGATGCTTAGCAACCAGTTCGACGTGCTCTACGCTGACCTCGTCAACGCCTACAAGTGCAGCACCGGCGCCGGCGGGAGCCGTGAACTGCGCTCCAATACGCCAAACTGCGACGTCAAGGCCGCCGGCGCCAGGCTCCTCTTCCTCCTGTCCACGCTCGACCTCACCCTCCTCACCAGCCGGCACTTTGCGCTGCAGAGCTGGGTGGACGCCGCCAGCGCCTGGGGCAAGGCCGCAGGCAACGAGGACCTCTTCACATTCAACGCCCGCAGCCAGGTCACGGTGTGGCAGGTGAACGCGACAAATCTCAACGACTACGCCGCCAAGGCCTGGGGCGGTCTTGTGGGATCGTACTACAAGGGCCGCTGGTCCATCTTTGTTGATGCGCTCGTCGCGGCGAGCTCGTCCGGGTCCTTGGACGAGGGTGCCTTGGCACGGAAGTTGCAGGTCTTTGAGGCAGAGTGGCAGGCTGGCAAGCAGACGGTCGAGCAGGCGACGCCGCAGGATTTCAGGGCCGTGCTGGCCGGTCTGCAGGGCAGTTGGCCCGAGTTGTTTCTCAAAGTGCAGTAAGGTGTAATGATGTGATGATTGGACTATATGAGGTAATTGGCTGCACTGCATGGCCAGCGTTGAGGAATAGCATGGATGTTAATGAGTCTCCTTCCAGTTTCGTTTCGTATCTCGATACATACAATATATATACCCTGTTGCCGGCTCCAGGACTGGCTTTATGAAAGTTTTTCGACCCGTCACTCTGGCAACTTGTCTTACACAGTCAGTCACTAACATTAGTGTCCGTGTAAGCGGGAACGAAGCATCAGAAAGTATCCATGGTACGGGGGACAACGATGTAGACGACGGCAAGGTAAATTCAACACTTGGCAGCGTCGAGGGTTGGATTCCCAAATGCAGCAAAAAGTGCCATCACCAACCTGGCGTCCTACCCGTTTGCACTCTATCATAACCAGCGAATGGCGCTCGTCCGAATAGACGCATTGATGACCATCACCCAGCAACGCAGTGGCCCGCCACGGCCACACATGCGACATGCAGAGCGGCCAGCCGCCCGAATGCGGTAATCCAGACGGCATTCACGGCAGACGCTCTGCACAATGACACATCGAACGCACATGGATCTTGGCACACGAAGCCGCACGCTATTTCCATCTCGGCGGCTCTACGACAAACTCCGAGCCTGGGCATGTTGATGAGGCACGCGTGGGCTTTTTTTTTTTTTTTAACGCGCTTAGCTCCGGCTTCTGGGGCTGAGGAAGCAGCCACAAACCGCTGCGGCTTTATTTTCACAGGGCTTGTCATTGGGTTCATGGCGGAGATGGAGCCCGCGTGATATTGGTGCTGCTTTAACCCGGGACGGCGACACGCCACTCGATGAAGCTCTGGGGTCGAGGATGCCGTTTTATACGGTGTGAGAAGGGACGCTATTATGTCATTTGACTTGCCTTTGGATACCGTTATGGAATGAAGATTGGCAGTGGCTTTACATGGGTGCTTGATATACACTAGAGTCGTGGTTCGACGCTTTCCAACATCCAGCAACGGTTGTCAAAGCACATATATTTTCGCCATTTCGATTATGCAAGGAACCTGGCGTTTCGCTTGCAGTGTCAAGGGCAGGAATCCAAGGGGGCTAATACAGCCACGGCCTGGCAGTTTCGAAGAGAAGGTTTATTATTAACACTACGTTACAATTTCTTACCGAGGCCCACGGGGCTTATTATCAAGACTATTATACAATTTCTGGTACCCAGCACCACGGGGCTTATTATCAACAACATTATTATACAATTTCTGGTATCCAGCACCGAGCACGAGACATGCTGCTTCACGCCGCCGCGCTATTACTGGAGCCGATCCGCCTCACCAGATACAACGCCAGCCCCCAGTTTGGCTGCAAGGAAACGCCGACTCTGCACACGACGAGAAACACAAGCGCCCACACGACGCTCGCCATCCACAAAGGCCGCACCCACGATGGCACCCAGGACGAGCTGGCCGGAGCTTGCAGCAGCGCCGCCCTCGCGACGTTCTTGTTGTACCGCAGCCGGTTGTGCGGATCAAACGCCTTCTTGAGCGCACAGATGCGCGCCCACTTCTCCCGGGAGCCGTACAGATTCCGCAGCCACTCGGGCCCCTGGTCGCAAGAGAGGTTCACGTAGCCGTTGCGCAGGGAGAGGGGTTTCATGGCGGCCATGACGCCGTCGACCCAGCGCACAAACTCGGCGTCCTTGTCCGGCGTGTCCCACAGGCCCAGCACCTCCCACATCCAGTTGGCCCCGCGGCGCGAGTAGGCCGTCGAGTCCTCGGGGAAGTCGAGGTTGGCGCCGCCGAGGCACGGGAGGGCGATGGCGACGCTGGGGCCGGCGCTGGTCGGGGCCGGCGCCGCCCTGACGGCGTCCACAACGACGG